GGGCGCCAGCCTCCCGCGCGAGGCGGGGCGACTCGGTCCCCGCGAACCCCGCTCCGCGCGGGGGCTGAGGCCGCTCGCCAGGCCTGTCGGCGCAGGCGAAATGGGGCCGACCCCCGGGTCCTGATTCCTGTCGCATTTCCCTTAAAACACGAAACTCGGGAGACGCCGTGCTCTGCCGCCGGCTGCCGCCTGTCCTCCCGTTCAAACCCAAGCTCAGCCGCCGAGCAGCCGCTCCTAAGGCTCGGGTACGTGCGGATCGGCATGCGGCCGGCTTTCGAGGTAGCCTAGCGCTTTTAAATTGGCTGAGTAGACGGGTGGTTCTCGTAGCACGAAGTGACTCCAGTGTATGTCACAATTTAAGTTTTGAGGGCCAGTGGTGTAGTCTGCTGGCAGCGTGCTTGCTTAGCTTAGCAAGCAGGCCTATCACTACACCACTAGAACAGGCAAAATTAGCTTTGCCATGCAATAAGCTGATTTTACATGATCAGATCTGTTTCAGAGGCTTGTAAGGAATGAAGAAGTTCCACAGGCTTGAGTGATGCAACGTACTTTTAAGGTTAGCAGTTCCCAGTTGTCTTGAAAATGCCATGCTCTATACCCTTAAAAGTTTACTTCTGTGGTGGCGCACGCCTGTAATCCCAGCACTTGGGAGGCTGAGGCAGGAGGGCTGCTGTGAGTTCTAGGCCAGCCTGAACTGCATAGCGAAACCCTGTTTCAAAAAGACCATACAGGCACAAAAGTTTCTTTCTGTTTGTATACAAACAGGTGATGAATTTTCAGTGAAGTTTAAACTGGGTTCACAAAATACCATTTGATTTGTGAGGAGACAATTTTACATACTTCACTTAAAAGAAAATTCTTAGATACACTAGTGAAGAAATCCTCCATAAAGCCTCAACACCCAAACAGCTTCATTCATGATCACTGCTGGAATATTTTATTTAAAAATGTGCCACAGTGAATGGATGCATCCATACTGGATTTTATAAATGTACACACACTCACAAATACAGTATGTATGTCACTGTCAGCCTATCCAAAGGAGGAAAGAATTACTAGAAAGTTAATATAGATGTTTACACTTCATTTAACAATAGCTCATTTATCTTCATTTAACAATAGCTTGTTATCAAGAACAATTTATGTTCTTGATAGGCCTTTTGGCTAAGATCAAGTATAGTATCTGTTCTTATCAGTTTAACAATAGCTTGTTTGTTTGAACTGAGATTTTGGTTGCTTTGCAAAGACAAACAGAACACCAATGCTGTCAGTAACAACAATTAAAGAATTACAAATCTCACTGTTTTGCCGTGGGTCAGAATTTTCGAAGATCGATAATTTTCACCAAGATTCTGTTGTTTAACCTAAAAAAAATTACTATCCCTAACTACAGCTACTTAATGGAATCTTAAGAGATTTAATGATTATTTCTGCAACAGAATATAGAGAATAAGTATCTGTCACTCTTACCAAAACATTGTTGTCTGCAGAGCTCAAAAAAGTATTATGTCTTAATAAATCATTTTAAGATCTCGTTTAGATGCCACTGCAGCTTCGGACTATGCAAAACCAAAAGGCAACAACCCACTTACACAGGAAGCCTTTCCAAAAAACTCTCTGAAGATGTTTCAGTAGCTATGTCCAAACACAGCAGCACTTTATTAACAAGAACAGAGTAATATGATCACAAGGAAATACTCAAAAGTCTCAAGTGAATGATATCTTGGGCATCAAAAAGCGAATACCAAGGAGGGTGGGTGTCCTAACATGTCTCACAGCTGTTGGATGAAAGCAGCTTGTAGGCAAGGAAAGACAAGCAACACTGACATCACAAACTGTGAAACACTTCATTACTTTGGGAAACGTAATCACGGTCATAACCTGTACCTAGAAAGAAGAGCCGTGTGAGTATATTAATGGGCCAGCCAGTTCTGTTAGATTTTAATACTGTGTGGTACTGAGTTCCTCTCTGCATAATGAAGTCAATTTATGTTCTTGACAGGCACATTAGCCTTTCTGATTAAGACAGTCCACACCCATTTTACCTCTGGACACTGGTCTAAGAGTAAACTACTTTGAACACTGGTAGATTTCTCTTGAGGTCTTCATTGATGCTAAATCAGCAAGTTAACATAATCTGAAAATGAAAACAATAAGGGGCACAAAGCTGCCCACATTCTGGTATCACACAGAGAATCTGTGGTTAAAATTGTGTAAGACACTTTTCGTGGGCCACTCAATTAGCTAAGGGAAGGACACCAGTGTTTTAATAAGGTCCCTTTTTATCACATGGTATTTCTACGCAAATATTTGGAATGCTCAGAAGATTCCACTTTCAGTCTCCCACAGCCTCCTGAGAAATAATTTAAAGTGGGACTTGATAGGAACAAACACCTTCAGTCTGTAGACTTTAGTTGCAAAAGCAGAGTTTTTGTTTAAATCCTGGGAAACCTCAGGTAACGTGCCTTGTTTTTTTTTTTTTTTTTTGATACCAGAAATCAAACTTGGGACCTTGCGCTTGCCAGGCAGGCGCTGTGCCCCTGAGCTAAATCCCCAGCCCAGTGTGCCTTATTTGTGAAATGGAAAAAAGATCAAATCAACAAAGATAAAGATGCAACAGATATCAAGGTTGGTAAATACTCGATCAATCATCTTCAAACCTCATAATATGTGCAAAACTATGGGACAGGGAGGCCAAATCCAACTAGACAGTCTGAGGAAAATGTTCTAGTTGATGCACAAGAAATTATTTTATGTAAATATGGAGATGGAAGAGGGGGCAGTTCTGTGCTTCTCGCTGTGTCACCTTTATTATGTTCCTAGTATCACTGAGACTAGCTTAAAAGTAGCCTGGACTGAACATTCGAATCACCAGCCTCCTTTTCCTCCTTTCTTCTTTTTCTGCTGCTGTTTCTTTTTTGTTGCTGGAGCCCCTGCAGGCTTCTGATGTCTCGGGGGTATGATGTTACTGGTAGAGGCAGAGACAGCCGCTGCACTGCCGGGTCGTGGGGAGGTGGGAGGACTGCTCACAGTTTTACTGGCATCCCTGAAATAATCACACCAGAAAGGTCATGGTCATTCAGAAATTCCACAAAGGACAGGGTACAGAGATGTTCGTGCATGGATTTTACTTTCCATGCCTAACAATCTCTCACACATTTTCCTTTTAAGGTGGGCTCCTCAACTCCCTATCCACTTTTATTTTGAATTTTTAAGGGTTATTAATTAAAGAATACGTAATACATGGTATAGGCCAATTTTTAGAAGTCTTAGAAAAAGTTTAAATCCTCTGTGACTCTGCTATGTAGAAATAACATTTTTAACGCTTCTTTCTAGCAATTTAATGTTATCTATCTACAGTTAGCTGAACGACTCCATGTGATGCTTCCTTTTCCAAATATACGTCTCGTATTTACAATATATTAACAAATTCGGACCAGGAGCCTTGAGTCAATCTCAGAATCAACCTGGGTCCCATGTTACCTCTTTGTGGAGCCATGACTTACAGTTCAGAGGAAGCTCCCGCAGTTGCTCCCTGAGTCCCCTTTCCAATCTGATCCTTCTTTTTACCCTTCTTTCTTCCTCGATAGTAAGAACGTTCTCGCATTGGCAGCCATCTTTCTGGATCTGGGGTAACTTTTGGGTCATAATTCTTAGGCAATTTTCCTAGGTAACAATTGATAAAGAAATGAGAGCTGTGCCTATAATAGTTTCAAGACAGTTTGTTTCAGCAATGTGTCCATGGCTGGGAATTATAATGTAACTGAAATTTGAGAAAATTTTATTGGTATAATTTAGCAAGGGACTCCCCCACTTCTGCTGGGGATTGAACCTAGGGTCTTCACACTGAGCTGCATCCCTAGACCTTTTTTGATTTTGAGGCAGGGTCTTGCTGAAACTGTTAAATTTGCCTGGTGTGGTGGTGCAAGCACTCGGGAGGTTGAGGCAGACTGAGGCAGGAGGATCGTTGAGAGTTCGAGGCCAGCCTGGGCTACAAAGTGAACTTGAGGCCAGCCTGAACTGCACAGCAAGACCCTGTCTCAAAAAGACTAAAATGAAACAAAATAAAAAAACCTGTTAAATTGCCCAGGTTGGCTTCAGGCATATGCCATCACGCCCAGCTGAAAAGACCTAAGCGCGATACAAAATTCAGAGGCTATATAGGAAACGATTTACCCTGTATAAAAAAAGCATCTCAAGGCTGGGGATGTAGCTCAGCAGCACAAGCACCTGCCTGGTAAGTGCAAGGTCCTGAGTTTGATTTCCAGTACCAAAAACCAAACACAAACAAAAAAAGCATCTCACTGGGTGTGGTGGCACACACCCATAATACCAGCACTCAGGAGGCTGAGGCAGGAAGACTGCTGTGAGTTTGAGGCCAGCCTGGGCTACATAAGTGAGTTCAAGGCCAGTTCAAGGCTACATACAGCACCTGCCTGGCAAGCTTGGGTGCTGAATTCAATTTCCAGTACCAACCGCCCCCCTGGCAAAAAAACCCCAAAATGTTCCACAGCAAAACAACCAAACCAAAACACCTCAAATGTATATATAATTTTAATTTATACTATAGGTTAAATTAATATCCTAATAGAGAAAGAATTCTTGCTAATGAAGGAAAAATGGACATGGTTATAATTAGGGTAATCAAGGAGAAATAAAAGCTGTTAATTGTGTGATTAGACATTCAACTAATCAAAAATAGAGTAATAAAACTGATTTAACAAATGTTAAGAGCAGTAATAGTGTTGATAAAAAATGGTGAGAAACACTACTGACAGAAGCATACACAAAGTGGGATAGCCTTTGTGAAAAGCAACTGCCCAACACTAGTAAACATTCATAGGCTTCTAGAAATTCATGCTGCTGAAGCCTATAATCCACAGTTATATACAAATATTCTCTGATATTCTTTAAGATAGCAAAATAACTGTAAATAAGAAAGGTTAAATTATACCTAAACTAGCTGGGTGTGGTGGCATATGCTTGTAATCCCAGCACTCGAGAGGCTGAAGGAGAGGCTGAAGCAAGAGGATAGTTGCGAGTTCAAAACCAGCCTGGGCTACAAAGTGAGCTCAGGGCCAGCCTGAACGGCATAGCGAGACTTATCTCAAAAAAAAGTCCAAAAAAACACAAAAAACTAAAAAACAACAACAACAACAAACCTAAACTATCATAAACTATATCACTGGACTAAGAAGTGAAGTGTGTGCCCAGAAGGAGGGCCTCCGGCACACAGGGAGCCACGGGTCTTTGGGCTGGCTCAATCCCTGACTCATAGGTGCCTGGAAGGAGGCCCTCCAGCGCAGGGGGAGCCACAGGCGGGAAGTGCTGGCCTTCCGACCTGCTCGCTCCCTGCCTCGTAGGTGTCCGCATGGAGGGCCCCCGGTGCAGGGGGAGCCACACAGCTGCGAGCACTGTTGCATGCCGGCCCTCAGGCTGGCCGCTGCTGCTCAATTGAGAACAACCATGACACAGAGAAACAATGACACAATTGGCCCACCCACGGACGTGTGTGAATCATTCAAACATGGAGAAACCCCTGGGAATATATGCCATGCAATGGGTCACCCTTGCTCCTGCCATAGAGAACCAGAAAGGTCAGGAGTCAGCAGAGGAGCAGCTGCTGAACAAGGACTCAGAGAACATGAGAATGCAGACTAAGCCCGAGGAGTCAGAGGTCCTGTGGACTGGGGTCACGAGAGCCGCTCAGAAGCTGTAAACCAGGAGGACCTTGCACAAGACCTGCAGAGACTCCCTGGAAACCATTCTTCCCCTGACAGTACAGGCTGTGGTGGAGCTCCGGAGAAGTCTGCAGCAGGATTCCTGCTGCCTGTACTGACACTAACTGGTTGTGGGGTCCCAATGTGATGGAAGGCTGGAGAGAAAACGCTACAAAAAATGGCTTTCGTCCCAGATGGCTCGCTTGATTTTTGACAACCCTTAGGCTATAACTACTTATTAGATCCTTCTTGTGTATCTCTTGTCTTCCTGAGAAACACCACCATGTATTACAGCAGCCATTGATATTTTCCTACTAATCTATCCATAACTCTGTAATGTTTGTATTGTTCCTATCCTATTTCGTAAATGGATGCATGTCTATTATTATGTGTTTCCTACAACAACCATTGAGAAAAGTTAATGATTATTCAATAGGTCACTCATGTATAGCTCTATTTATTTTCTTTAGAAGTCACTTTGAAGATACCAAAGTATAGTACAACAACTATTGATAATCTCCTACCTCTTTTGTCTGTAACTCACTATTATTTGTCTATTTGTTTTCCTGAGAAATTACCTTGTAGATAACAATATGTAAAACGATAACCATTGATAATTTCTTACCACTTTGTCTGTAATTTGGTAAGCCCCATTACTATGTTATCCTTCTTTTACTCTTTAAAAAAAAAAAAATTTCCATTCAAAAAAAAGAATTCCATTATAAACCAGAATTTGGTTTGTTGAAAATAATTTTGCTTAAGCTAACTTAGTAGTAAGTTGTATGTCTCTCATGCCAAGTATAAATTTATTCTTGATAAATGCTAGTCAAATATGCCTCTAAAAAAAAAGGAAGTGAGGTGTATCTATATTTAACAATTTATACAAATGTTCTTTATAATTCAGTCTAAGGAAGAGGAAATAAACTGCGATATTATGTTCATATTGATTTTGTAAAACTTACTGCCAGTGTGAGAGTATATAATTACAAGAACACAGAATTTTAGGTCACAAAAAAAGTGAAGTAATCATCTCTGGGAGTGTACATTTGTGGTAGGGAATCTTCCATTCTTTATTCCATTCCTTAGTAAAAGGCATCTACAACCGTTGTTTTTAGGATGAATATATATTATTTTATAAGTTTTAAAAAATGCTCATTTGTAAATAAAAAAATTGAACATTATCACTGTTACCTACAGTTACGAGCTGTTTCCCTGAAGCACTACTAACACATAAAACACCTCACTGACTTTTATGTGCATACTATAACGAGTGAAGAACCAGTAAGACTTCTAGGTGAAGACAGTGGACTGAACGCAAGCACTAGCTTGTGCACCCTCTCCAAGCTCCACTACAAGGGTAACAAACACATCAGAAAAACGAACAGGAGACAAGTGTTACCGATAAATTTTGGAAGCAAGAAAACAAATGCAGCAGTGATAATGAACCTAGGTGAGACTAGGGTACCCGAGTTCTACTAGGGCAGTGGACAAAATGAAGAGGTGACCTGACGCATACCAGGCTCTTCCAAAACTCAGAGCACGTAGGTGCTTGGGGTTAACCTTGGCTGCATGAAGCGATGGACAGTGCAATCCCACCTGCTCTTTGTGTGCGCTGGGAGAGCACAGCTCAGTGCCCACCAGTGTACAGCATTCTCCCGGTTCAGGGTTCAGGGCTGAACCACCACCTGTGCTTCGCTCAATCAGATCAGTAAGAAAAGCTTGTTAAGTCCAGAGGCCCTATCTGTCCTGCTCCATGGAAATGACAAGTATATGGCCCTATTTCCAACAAACATCCTGAGACAAAAAGGATGCAGTCTTGTAGACACAAGCACTACCGGCTCAACCAACCTTGACACTAACCTTCCTCTAGACTGCCAGTTTCATAAACAGTAAATTTTCTAAGCCAGTCTGAAACTCTATGGTATTTCTAGCCTAAAATATAAGGACTTACTGTGTGCTAAGTATCATTCTAAGAGATTTAATCATAAGAGATCTGTCTTAGTTTTTTGAGCTATACTATCATACTCTACAGATGAAAATCTCAGCAGGTATGTCAACTTCAATCACACAGTGAGAATACTATGGCAGCAACTTGAATTTGGGCCATCTCCAGAGCTGTACTCATTAAAGTGATAAAAGTAAATGTTTGCTATAGTCAAAAGTCAGTACTCAAAGACACCAGGGGAAAGTGCAAGTACATTTACGTCCAAAGAGTTCTATTTAAGGGTAGATTCAAGCTTTTACCATGTAGAAAGGAATCTAAAGTTAATAAAACACTTACCTTTCTTTTTCTTCTTCTTCTTTTTCAAATCTCCCTGACTAAAAAGAAGAAAAAACATTACTATCACTGTGATAAAATATTTATAGAGCATTAAGTATATTCAAAAGAACAAAGTGGCTGGGGTATTAATCCAGGTTAAATTCAATCATATTTCAGATATTACACTTTCTGGAAGGTAAGTTTGGAAAAGGGAAGTGACAACTGTTCCCAAAAAAAGAAGTACCCATTACACTGACAAACTGTAAGTGGCACACATTAAACTTAATGTAAAGCTTTTTCAATGTAAATGGGATCATCTCTCTTCTCCAAACCACCTTCTAACAAGTATCTGGAGTGCAATATCTGAACAGTGTGAGACTTGTGAGGGGTAACTAATTTGCACAAACATGAAAATCTGCATTACTTCGATAAATTACCCTATACTTGACCTGAGAATACGCATACGTAAAATACTAGTAAAGAACATCTCTGGAAAGATACAAAACAAATTCTACTGCTTGTGGTCCCAGGAGGGAAAAGGCTGGACAGGGGAAGACCTCAGTTTCTTTTTTTCCCCTCAGGGCTGGGGATGGAACCCAGGGGCCTCCTCTGTACCAGGCAAGGACTCTACTGCAGAGCTACACTCCCAGCTCTATCTTTCAAGTTTTGAATCTTGTGAATTTGTCTTTTTTTTTTTTTGAGGCAGGGTCTCACTAAGTAATGCAGGCTCGTCTTAAACTCGCTTATATAGCCTAGGCTGGCCTTGAACTCACAGTGATCCTCCTGCCTCAGCCTCCTGATTATCTTTTTAAATAAGTAAAATGTTTATTAAGTGTATTGACAAAAAAAAGTACTAAAAAGGGCCTAAAATGAAAACATTTCAAAATAATTGTTAAGCATTCTAAAAGTTCTGACAAAAAGAGGGAGACAGATCTCTGTATAGACTCCTTTGATCACTTCTTCGGCCTTTTGGCTAAGATCAGGTGTAGACTCCTCTGATATACTTAGGTGAGAAGTATGAAACGGTGAGCTAAAAGGATGGCACAGCAAGTTACCGCCGGAACTTCACTGTGTAAGTCATTCAGTCGTGAAAGTTCATGACATCCTGAAGAATAAAAACTGCAATGTACAGTGTCTTATTCTAGTACCTTAGTACTTCATCTAGCACTTAGATTCTGAAACAGAATCTTACTTGCTCAGAACTTCCCAGAGGTTCTCTGCTATTTCTCAATTCTGTGCCTTTGTCCAGTTTGCCTACTCAGCCTCCTCAGAATTCATAAAAGCCCTGCCCAAATATCTCCCTCGTCACCACTGTCCTAAAGAAGAATGACTCCCTCTGGCATACTCCTCTAGAACACACACAATCCTACCATGTACCTTTCCTCCACATGCTGTTTACATACATTTCCTCTTGCCTTGGATTTTCATCAACAGCTAGCTCAAACCCATAACACAGTGTAGCTCTAAAAGAAACTAAGCCTTTGCACCCAAAAGTTAGCATAAAATAACGACCATTAATAATGTCTAACAAAAATGTGCTGAAATTTTAAAGCTTAAGAATCATCCTCATGTTTGTTTAAGAAAAAAGAGATTAAAAGATTGGAAAAGAACTCGGGCTAGACATGGTGCTTCTGTAATCCCAGCATTCAGGAGGCTGAGGCATGAGGATCACAAAAAGATTGTGCATTCTTAGTAGTTACCTAACACTTGTTTTGGTAAAGAAAAGTACTGAAAATATTTAAACAGGTGATATTTGAAAGTCCACTAAGACCTCGCTTGCATTTATTTTATCTTGGGGTTCCTGATAAGGCTCGAAGTTGGAATGATGAAATGGAATTTACAAGTTGATATCTGTAAGACTCCAATTCTTAAGTTTTTAAGATTAATAACGAGGATACTTTTCATCAGAGTTCTTAATGAAGGAGGTCAATAATACATACACAGTTGCTTTTTCATGTGTGTTGTAGTGGAGGTAGAATCCAAAGCCTCAGGCATGTCAGGCAAATGCTCTACTACTCAGCTACATCCCCAGCCCTGACTGTCTTAAGTTACGAAAAAATTCACATTTCAAAAGACATTCAAAAAGGGAGAAAATAATGAAAAATTATGGAAGTCACAAAACTGCAGAAGTGTTTGATTTCTGCCATGGTCTATTATGAATCAAAATTAGAATCTTAAACATTTTACTGTGGGCCTCTGCTAACTGATTTTAAGATGGTAATGTGGGAGAACAATGGAAGAATCAGAACCTAACTTACAGTAAATAAATGAACCTGGTTAACCTTTCTACCAAACCGGCAAAATAAACTATCTGAACTTTGGTTCAGAAATACTAAATGATGAGCAAGGTACAGTGGTGCATGCCTGTAATCTCAGCACTCAGGAGGCTGAGGCAGGAGGACTGCTACAAGTTCCAGACCAGCCTGGGCTACATAGTGATTCCAAGGCCAGCTGAACTGCTTAACGAGATCCTCCTGTCTAAAAAACAAAACAAAACAAAACAAAACAGAAATACTAAATGATGTGCTAAATGTATATCAGGATATATCCAGTAGGGCAAATCCAGCCAACAGAATGTGTTGCATAAAAAGAAGGAAATATATCTACATTTAGTACCTGGAAGATCTCCAGGACTTATTACATTCAATGCAAGCCAGTTAGAAAATAGTACAACAGCATCTATCCCTTTTCTGTGAGAAACAACAACAAAACAATCTAAGGAAAATAGTTATAGATGATCTTGTGTGTGTTGACACCAAGAAAAAGATCTGGAAGGCACACTGTTTGTGGTGATGAGCCTATGGCTTGTGGCTCTAAAAGGTTTGCCATCACTGCACTGTGTTAACACCCAAGGCTGGTCTGGGGCTGAGGGAGGAGGGGAAACGAGGAGTACGTGCTGGGCACAGCAAAAGAGAAGGAAAGGAAACAAAGGGGACTTACGTTTCACTCGTTTGGAATTTTATGAGAATGTCGTTTTTTATTCCTTATATAACTTAAAATCAGCATCACAGGCTATTTTAGAAATGGTTTTAACTAGAAAAACATTACCCTTGCTCCTTTGGTTGACTATCTCCAGTGACTTTTCCACCCTTCTTCCGAATGTACGTAGCACCAGGAGAATTTTCAAGGGCCTCGACATCTACTTTTAGAGACATACTATCTGATGAGGGCAAGTGTTTACTAAGACTGGGAGAGAACAGGAGTTCAGGAACATAACACACACGCGTCTGTCAGTATATGTATGCCAACAGAATAGGACGCTCGTCTTTTCCTTAGGCCCTTCATCGAAAGCAAGCCCTGTTCTTAAATCTTCTGCAGTGTAACGAATTCGCACGTCAGGTCAATTGTGTAAGCATACATTCTGAGAAGAGAACGTGAAGGGTCACAATCTATCATTTATTGCTTAGCTCAGGGATATACATCAAGGTAATCCTAAAGCAGTCATCAAGTTTATAAAACATAGGTTTGCTCACTGCAAAGACTGGCGAGCACCCACTACCCCAGCCTGATTAGGGGGGCGCTGTGACCCAAGCTCAATCAGGCAGGATGCCGAACCCTCCTATCAACAGCAACTGCCTGAGACAGGCATGCAACCCAAACCTTTGACCACAGCACAATCCCGGAATTTATGCACAACTACCCACAACAGATGCTGTTGTCTCGCTTATTTTTTTTTGTGTGTGTGTGTATGGGGCTGGTCTTAAATATGGAGGAAAACAGACTGACTTCCTTTTTGTTTCTAAATCAGACTACCTTAAGGTAGAACTATCACTGCATTGTTCTATCACACTGATCCACAATTCTAGTTATTTGCTTTTAGTAGTTAGGAGATTTTAGTGTTAGTTGAAATTCACAACAGAAAAATACCTGCTCAGTACACAAATACTAGAAGAGCTCTATGTTCTATGGGGAGCTGTCAGGAGCAACAACCAAAAGGATACACTTTTGCTTTCTCCGGATCTACAAGCGAGTACGCAGAAATAAGCTGCGCCAGTGTGTGAATATCTTTCGGATTTTGTCTAAAAGAAGAGACAAGAAAGTTACTGAATAGTTTCTAAAACTAAGAAAGTAACAACAGGGAGAATAACTTTCATATTAAACAACAGCAATAAAACATGGACTTCTACACCTCCACCTTTCAGAGCTTACTTCCATAGCTGTTCTAGGTCACTAATTGCCTCCTTCTTCCGCCCGTATTTGAGTTTGAAGTTTGCTGCTTCTCTTATCAAGGACAAATGAGCAGGGGATTTGGGCTGCAAGTTCAATTAAAAAAAAAATTAAGCTAAATATCCAGCAAGTCAATGAAGTTATATTTACTAGACCTTTAAAATGGACCTACCCATTAAATTCCTTAAGTTTTTTTAAAAAAAATTCCGTAAGTTTTACTGAATAACTAAAACAAACTACTCACATATACACAGGGGATGTGGGTAGATCAATCAGTGCAAGCAACCACCAATTACAAAGCTGAACACATCCTGGTCCTAATTAGCTGTCTGTGACTAGAAACATTCCCTGAAATCAAATCTTAAACGTAAGTCACTATGGTTCTCAAACTTTAACACAATACTTCCCAGAGCCCCGATGGCCCTCTACTAGTAGTGACAGCACACTGGTGAGCTGGGACTGCCTACGCAGAGACCCACACTGGAAAAATGAAGATGCTCCAATTAGATCAAAATATAATTATCCCAGATACTACTGTTCCAGTAATTACTCCTACCAGAGGACTCCGAGCCACTTAAGATGACCTTTCTTATCTGCAATCACCGTTCCAATGGCATCTTTACACACTGTGATCACACACACAAGTGCATATATGTGCACCCAGAGGAAGGAGTTTCAAGAAAAAGCTTTCTATTTTGCAGCCAATCTTTAGGTCCAATAACCTTGGCATACTCAAAAAAAATGAAGGCGCTAGTCTAATAATACCCAAATTTCAATGCAGTGAATTAGAATACTCTAGCTCTCTGAAATTTTGAGCTCAGTATGCAGCTCTTTATTATCTAGGTAAAAGCACGCTCTTAAAACGCTTTACTCCATTTACTCACCTGGTGGTTTTGGTACCACTGGATAGCCTGTGTGAAGACCTCAATGGCACTGTCAATGTCTTCCTCATGGCTGTACATGGTCACTAAGGCAGACACCTGGCCAGCCGAAGGTATAAATGAATGAATGAAATTCTTTCTGCACTCTCCCAGAAGTCAATAAAGGAATTCCTGGTACAGGCCTGAGATTATTTTAGGTTGACTTTTCAACAATAATGCAAGGCCTAAAGAGTATCAGGCACATTTGACTGAATAATAAATCAATAAAAAGCAAAGCACATTTATAAAAATACATTTATAGCAGTTCAGTAACTGTTGTTATTCTCTACTACTTCTACCTTATAAATATATATAAGCAAGTAGAATTTATAATTAATAAACACCAGATAAATAAATGGACTATCAATTCCACTATCTTTTCAGTCTTGTAATGTTTTAGTTACAAACTCACCATTCCTGGTTTATGCTTTAACTCTTCTATGCTTCTCAGTATTAGACATGCTTTAGAAATATTACCTTAAGAGATTAAAAACAAAATCAGAGGTCTGGGATACATCTCAGTGGCATGGTATCTGCCTGACAGACGTGAGGTCCTGAGCTCTACTACTGGTTTCCCCGCCCCCGCCAAAAAGACCCCAACAAAATCAGCACCATAGTGAAGAAAGTATACTGGAGGACGCGGCTGGAAATTTTACTTCTTTATACCTCTTTTCCTTAGGAAAGTTACCCTTTGTCTTACTTTGTAACATCTTCTTTTTGATAAGGTCTCATCATGGGCTTGAACTATGTCACCTGGCTGGCCCCAAACACATAGCAATCCTCCTGCCTCAGCTTCCTTGAATGCTAGAATTTACAAGCATGCACTACCATGCTTGGCTTGTAGCATCTCTAAATATACAAGCTTTGAGGTCTTGGGGGGATAGTGTACACTTTTACAAATAAGGACAATGGCTTGTGAGGAAGTAACACACTTTGCTTCCGCTCACAAAGCAAGTTAATGGCACAGTTGCTACAGAAAGGCAGTCTTGCAACCCCCAGTCTATTGGGTTCTAGTTCTCCTTATCAGGCTGTAACCTGAAAGTGGTGATGGGGACCCTTCCCTAAAGGTCTTAAAATACCCTGTAACAGACATGAGTGCAATAGAAAATTGGTGGGGTGAAGACACTGATTTTCTATTCATCAAAAACCTCAATAACCCAAACTCTCCATTTTTTAAAACATGACTGACTCAATAATTTTGGAATGATGAACAGGATGAAATTTGCAGACATCTGCAAAGATATTAGCAGCAGTTTTAAACCTTTCTTTCATTACTGCCTCATTAAGGAGCCTTTTTAGACATTTTTTTCCTGTCAACTCCCTTCCCCCAACCCAAGAAATTTTCATTTCTGCCACTGCAAGAGCTAAGAATCGGTTGACCACTTATCACCCCCACTGAGAAGGTATGCTTAGATCAGAGCTGTCTGAAAGAATTTTCTGGGAAGATGGCAACGCTCTGTCATCTGTGCTATCCAACACAGTGGCCAGTGACTGCACGTGGCTACTCCGTTTCTGTAGGGTGGCTAGGACAAGTGTGGAAATGAAATTTACATTCTGATTAATTTAAATTTGAAATAGCTACATGTGGCCAGTGGCTAGTATACCTGACAACACAATTTTAGACAATGACTCAAGGTTGGTTCAAAATAGCAGCCAAAACACTGGTAGTTCTTTTGTTAAGAATCAAACATAGGTTATTAAGTTCTATAGGTGGGCATGTATAAATGAAGAATGAAAGGCCAAGCTAAGGAATACTGCAGAGTCCAATGTAAAGCAATCCTTTCTTATTCCACAAATATTACCAAGTGACAGACATAAAAGCATTTTTACACTTGACATACTTAGGAAAGCTGAATGAGCGTGGTCTTTTGGAACAGAGGGATCTCCTACTGATCTTCAAGGTCCAGACTGAGGTTCATTCTCATGATGTATGAAAAACCCAAGAAAGGGTCACTACTAACTGCTGGAGATCACACGCCCTAGCTTCATGTTCGAAACAATAATTATGTTTTGTTACCCTCTTGCACAAAATCTTAAATTAAATATTAGTACCTTGAGAAATTTTCAACTGTGCCATGGTCAGCTTAATTTCAGCTGCATTTTCTGGATGTTGATCTGAAAATTCCTAAAATATTTTTAATTGGAGGAGAAAAAACTCAATTAAATTATACAACTACAGACATTAAAATTACTTATCTCAGCTAACAGATTTTCAGGTATTATACCTAGTTCAGATCAAAATCTTAACCTGGAAAAAATTTTGACATCCATTTTGCTTTATATAAGGTATGCTATAAAAATTCAATCTATTAGCAAGTTTTCTGGAAGTCACTAATAAGGAAACAATAAGGACTACTACGTAAACTTTTTTGTTTTTTAAGGAAGACATTTAGAGAGTGCCTTTTTCTTCAGGGTTCCTGATAGGCAACTTTGCCTCTCCGGATGGTCCTAATTTTACCCTGTCAAACTTTCCAACATAGTGTCTACTCAAGAAATTCAAACATGTAAAATTAGCAGGTGTGGGTTAAAAGGCTGTTAATAATTTTAGCAAGTCAGTGTCTCCACAACTGTTTGAGATTTTGGAGAAGGACTTGCCAGAGAACACATTACTGAAACAGAGGGTTCGGTACTGATATTATAAGCCTAAAATCAGCCTTTAACTCAGACACAAGTTTGCAAGTTATTAGAGTATAAGGAAATGAAAGAAGGCTGCCTAATACTTCATTAAAAATTCAAATATAGTGTCTTTACCTGAAGCAGCTCTATTGCTTTTGTGTGCTGTTTTTCCCGGCAGAGCTGGGCAGCTTGGATTAACACAGGCAGGAGACGCTCAGGACTTTGGGACTGTAAACCAGCAGATATTTTGCGGCATTGCTCTGCCTAGATAGAGAAGCAGTTTAAAGCATCCATTCTCAATTTTTTCTTAAAAAAGAAAAAATTTCAACTTACTGTGTTTAAACCATGAGTTCTAAAAACCTGTAACAAGTTCTAAACATTCACTTGAATGTCTTAATTTCAGATTTTTAAAAGTACACATCAAGTATTACAAAAGACATAAAATACTAATAACCTGACTCACTTTTAAATACTAAAAACATTACTGCCTTACTCTCGTACTGAAAACGTGTTCTAAGCAAGTATGAATTTAGAGTTAGAATACATGTATTAGAATTAATCTCTTTACCATTCATAAAATTGTGATAATGTCCAACTAAAATGAAATGGACCTTAAATCTATAATCATACTTGGCATTTTTGATGACACTATTTTAATCCAGAGAGAGTAAGAATAAAGTAATGAGAAAATCATTTAAGGTGATAGTACTGTCTTGTTTCTCTTAAAAGCCATTAACCTATCTTTACATAGAACTGGGTAAATTATTTGTTTAAAAAATAAAATTTATGACACATGATAGTCTGAAGAAGGAAGATAAAATATAAACAAAAAATAAAAATAGGTTAAGATGAATACACCCATCACACCTCATATGCTATACAAAGGTTTAGCCAGGGACCAGAGGCATATTACCCACCTGGTTTGTGTACATAGCAAGTAAAGCTTTGTTAAATTCTATAGCTTGCAGTTGTTTCTTGGAAAGCTTAAATTCTACTCCTTCTGCGTTGGTTAATTTCACCTTCTTCTTGGAGTCAAAGACATTTTGGTCCTGGCCAATAGAAAGTTCACCCACCATTAGCAGAGTATCTGACTTCAACCCTTGTAACACTCTGTGGCCTTACTTAGTGATTTTATATAAACACAGAGAGCTTGGATATACCTACCTGGCTGGTCCCTAAACTAATAAAAATGCATATACTTGTCTTGGGTTCTTGGTTCACAGATATAAAAAAATTCTCTGCAATTACATTTTTTTTTTTTATCACAGTGTACACATTTTTTATCACAATTTAGCCCTGCTCCTCTTACAGCCTTTCTAAAGCAGGGTTCCTCCTTGTAGGTGTGAAAAGGCGAAAGTGAGCTGCTTTCAAGGGAAGGCGGACAAGACTTCTGGGTTATGTTTCCACTGTTACCTGCTGGGTTGAGCTTTTTCTTTCTTTTTTTTTTTTTTTTTAAATAAAAGGAGGAAAACATTAACAGACAGACAACCTTTTACAAAATAGCAAAAGAACAGTATAGACAATACAGAGTT